GCACAAAGGAAAAAAATGAATTTCCAGTCATAATATTTACATTTCAATCAAAATTACAGGAAATTTTAATTAGGCAGATACAATTGTTCATTTAACATCACATATGTAATAGAACATTAGTTTATATCATCATCCACTTATAAGTCAATAGGCAGGTCTGCAACAGGATATTTTTCATGAATCCTACAGCAACACATACACACAAACACACAAATCACATGTAAAAAGTAGCTTGCATAAGGTAAGTAAGGTTAATGGTAAAAGCTTCTTTCTATGCAGAGGAAATTGAACATTAAAGCTGCAGCATTAGGAAAAAAGTTTAAAAACAAGAAATGAAGTTGTACAACAGATGAGAACTTAAAAAAAATTGGTGACCTTTCCACACAGATGAAGTCAGGTTAAAAAAAACACAAACCAAACCAAAACCAAAGGAGACCAAAACCAAATGAGACCAAAAGAGAACCTCCCCCCCACACACATACAGACAAAAGTGAGAGCACAACAAAGGAAGTGGAAGAAAAGTGTTACCCATAAGTAGCCGCCGTTTCACCCGCTTGTCCACATCAGCTACTGACGTGGCATTGTACTCAGAACTCTCAATTGCAGCCTCATCCTTCTCTAAAACACAAGTAAGGGACAAACATGGAGCAGTTGGTTAATCACAAGCCCAATTTTCCACTGCCTAAGACAGTTTCTTGGCATGGCACAGCCAAAGCCAAGAAGCAAGGCATGAAAGCACTAAATCCCCGTTAGAGAGTTAATTCCCTTTGAGATCCCAGGAAAAATTAAAGGGTGTTTAGGGAAAGGAGGAAGAAAGAGGGTGAGAAGGAAGAATGGTCAACTATGAAGGAATGGTCAACTATGAAGGAATTAACCACATACAGAAAGCTGGATTCCTACTGAAGAACAAGACAGCTAACATGAGTGCCCCAGAGAGGTGTTAATGATGAAAATTAAAATTCAGGAATGCTAGTTAAACAAACTACCAAAGACAAACTGTGATTCAGGCTAATGGTGGCACCAAGGTGGCAGGCAGAAGACTGAGACAGACAGAGAGAGCGAGAAGAGTCCGGTGATGGATGGGCACGGTTGCACCGTAGTCTCATACACATTGACACATCGAGAGGAGAAACCAAACAACAGCATGCAAATTAAACAAAAACAACAACAAAAATAAACAAACAACAAACCAAACAAACACAAAAAAAGATCAATTTGGGCAGTGCTGGTTGCCTGCTTGTCTATGAAACACTACTAGCTAAACATTCAATGCTAGGAAAGATGTTGCAAGAACTGGGTTTAGTAATTTTTATAAGCATGCAGTAAGCAAGATGATGTCACCAAAGGTCATTTTACAAGGCAGTCGCTGATATCCTACATGTAAGCATTTCATACAGCTTAATGAGGACTTTAGTTTGGTTATGCTTCATTAGAAATACACAGAAACAGTCACAAGTGTGGGAAGAGATGATCAGTAGGTGAAATAAAATTAGAGATTTCTGATACAGGAGAGTAATGGAGAAGCAGCAGGTGGGTAAATAAAATCATATATACAGAAAGGGAAATGCTTATTAGGAAAACAAAACCAAAAATGCAAGTCAGGACTTTCACATGCAGCAAACATAAAAAAGAAAGGATAAGTCAAGCAAACAAAGACAAAATATGTTAGACAAAGGATCAACAAGTATTTATCTGGCATTGCAGAAGTTTGCATTCTTGCAGTGATGCCTGGAATACATACACCACTGAAGACAGCAAACACTGGAATCACTGAGGTAAGGAGGAGGAGGAGGCTGGCAGGTTTTGTTTGTGGCAACACTACATGGTTGAGTGGTAACAAGAAGTTGCATTGTTTTGTTTTTAACAAGTTCTAGATGGGATCAGGCTGCAATAGAGGCTTTTGTTTGAGTTTTGTTTTTATTTTATTTTGCTCTGTAAATAATTAATAAACGTCAGTTATCAGACAAGACAGGCAATCAGGAACCATCACCAGAAAGCAGGAATAAAATGTCAAAAATAAAAAAAAAAATTAAAAGTATTCTAAGAGAAAGAACTATTTAGAAGAAGAAAATCAGCACAGGCAGTAATATGTGACTTACATCACAAGACCAAGGAATGTAACATGGAGTTGTATGTATTACATTACAAAAATGGGAAAAAAAAAGTAAAAAAAAAGTGCACAGTACACAGCTTTTAAAATAATTTGTTACATGCTGGACAAAATAAAACATCAATCCAAGGATATTAGTGAATGATAATAAATAGAAGATCATTATCTGTTCAATAAAACCTGCTCTCGAGGCCCTTGCTCTTGCAAATTCTCTGCATCTGGAGCTGCCACAGGCTACAGGAGGGTTATACAAACAGAGGGGCTGTACGTGGACCCCTCTGTTAATCAGAGGTAGCAGCTGAGATCCCATAAAGCTAAGACATACCTTGTGTATACAGCGAGGCAGAGTCCTGCTCTGAACCTTGTTCAGCTCTACCTCTGCCACCATAACCTGTGCCCTACCACACAATTTGTGCAATGGAACCCACCAGAAGTGAGCAAGGCTCTGGGCAGCCACAGAGCTTTATCTGACCAAGGCAGACTGACTAAAGATAACTGACAGATTTCCATGGGTTTCAAATGCTCTGTCTTCCAGTATAGGAGAGAAAATATGATAAATATGTGTATGGCTTTTTAATCTCAGGAAATGACTAGGAGTTTGTTCGAATTTGAAATTAAACAAACAAAAAAAGCCAACATGACCACAATGCCAATGAAAACCATTATGGATCTGTGGGTCTGATCTGTGAGTGAGAATTTTCCAATGGTAACTTGCACTATGCAAAATCTCCTTTTTTTTTATTTCTTTGTTGTTTGGTTTTTAAAGGAGAGTGGAAAGAAATAGTGTTAAAGCAAATAATACATTTTAGAATCATAAATGTTTGCATAGCATCTTCCAAGATGCTCCATCTCTTCAGTGGCTTTTTCCTACTGATATTCTGAGTAAAAGCTTATTCACAACAAGTGCTGTAATTTTTAGAATATAAAACATACAACAGAAAAGAAAGCACATCATGATGACTAATTTTCTCCAATAACAGCTTAGAAAAGAAGATCTTTTTCCTCACCTTGCTTACGCAAGGAAGTCTTGACTCATGAAAATGAACAGAAGAGCTGAACTTTCATTCAAAATTATGCTTTACACCTTTTTACTTCAAGAATTAATAGAGTTATAAACAGAACCAAGGTTACAAATGAGTAACAAAGGGATACTTAATTAACAAGTGTTTTGACAAAACATGCAAAACTCTCTGTATATCGTGACCTTGGCTCCAGCAGTCAGGAGCTGCTGTTCCACACCTCTCCCAGCAGCAGTGCTGAACACCCATGGATACAAACACACGCACACACACACACGCACACACACACACATATGTGCACATATATATTCTGTGAGGAATACGAAATAAAATGTGCTGCAGGCAAGTACTTACCAATGCAGGTTCGGCCATCTGAATGTAGGGCATACTTCTGATGACAACCACACACAGGACCAGTATCTGTGTCATCACAGGTGTGTTGGCAGCCTCCATTCCCATAGTTACAGGTTACTAGTTAAGCCCCAAATGAATGTGTATATATGTATATATAAATAAAATGACAATGAAACCAATTAGTCTTGAGGGCCTTTCAGAACACAGAAGAGCAGTAACATACCAAGACATAAGGCAATATAACATTTATGTTTGCAGTTATTTGTATTTATTCTCCTTCCTGCCTCCTCCCTTAGTCTGTCCCTTGCCCTAGCCTCACTCCATGCAGTGAATAAAAAAAAAGAGAAAGAAAAACAAAAGCATGTGCTACATTTTCCCCCGACTATTTGTATTAATAATTTTAGTATGAGTGGTTAGCCAATTCCGCCTCTGCCCAAAAGCCACGTGCTTCATATCCATGATGCATATGGCACACAGAAATTAACAGTCTACCAATACAGATGTGTACTTTCAAGTCCAGAGACACCATCTCTCTCTTTTGCTCCTCCTTCATTTTCTAAGTGGAAGAAGCAAAGACCAAACAGCAAGAACAGAACCGTAAAAAACTTGAAATCTACTATTTTAAGTATTAGCCCTCCCAGAGTAGAACGTTTAAAAATAAAACTGGAAATGTTTGTTTTGTTTTTTTTCTCTTCTCTGAAACAAAAAATACACAGTTGTTATGGCCCTGCGCTGGCCTCAGCTAGGAAGGGAACTCTGGAGATGTGGCTTTCATTTTCAAGCACACAGTGCAAAATGGCATTTAGCAATTCAAATGTCCTCTGGTGAAAAAGTATTAAACATACATTAAAGTAAACATTTTTCATGACAGGTAGAGTTTTGGATTTTGCATGAATTAATAGATAAGATTCAATTTCTTTTGCCACATGATGGATTTGATTTCTGACTACTAAGACAAGCCAGTTTTTAAATATTAAGCTGGGTAGCACCATTAACAATGCCTGTCATTTGCCCCTGTTTTGTTTAGTCCTTTGCAGTTGCATAGTTTGATGCTGAAGAGCACAATTCTAACCTGACTGAATTCTGAATTCAATTTACTGTCTTTATTGGAACTAGATTGTTATTGGTATGTACATACTGAAGATACAGGGCAAATCCAATATACCATGATTCAGTTATATACTCATCACTTTAGAAGACTTAGATGTTATGAAACATTACAGTAATTTAAATGCTAACTACACTCATTTAAATACTGACTCCTACTAATCAGAAGGAACTTCCCACATTGGTCTTAGCAGAATTTTCCTTCTAGATGAGAAAGTTTATAAAATATCCAGGGTAGCAAATTGCAATATACAGTAAAACCAAGGGAATGGTTTTGAAACAGGATTTGAAAATCATGTATCTAACCCTAAACTGAGGTTCTATCTAATGCAAGAGGACTAAGCTTGTATATTTTCCCAGTGAACTCAGTGACCCTGCTTTAATGCTAGTTTCTGAAAATGGAGTAGACTGGAATTTTCAGTCACAGCAACTAGAAATGAAATATCCCACCTCTGGTGTGAGTGCCTCAGTGTTGAGCAGTCATGTCACTCTCAATAACCACTGAAGTATTTGACTCAAAATGGAACAGTTCTTAAAAAAGCAACTGAGGGAGACCCACCACAGCACACCCAACATAATTCCCATTAAAACCTGCTGCCAGTGCAGCAACTGCCAGTTTACAACTTCAGTTCTGAAGTCTGGCAAAGACCACAACAGGAAGTGTCCACCTCTCAAGTGAGTACACACCTGAGGCCACTACAGGTGCAGACATCCTTGGTCCTTCACATTGTACACTTTGAATAAAATCCTTGTGCTGTTCAGACATAGGGAATAGCCTCCATGCCTATAGTAAGAACAATCTCTGAGAAGAGAGCCTGCCTGGATTCCCACCTCACTTCCCAGGAATACTGCTGTTCTATCCAGTTGGAAAGAATGGCAGTGAGAAAGATGGAGAGCTCTGCCTGATCCACGTTCTCTTACTGGAGCTTGACAGTTCGTGCACTAGACTGGAAAATGGAAATTGTGGGTTCATTCCCACCAGACAGAGGAAGGAACTGAACTCACATACCCCAAGTCATAAGAATCCTAAACTTCCAAGGAATTACATTTAAAAAGCCCCCTAAGCAACAACCACCCTCAGGCATTCTTTCTCCTTCTCCACTTTCATAGAGTAACTAACAACTTTTTTTTTTTTGTTAAAAAACACATGAAGCAAATCATTCTGCTTTGCACCAAACAGAAGTAATATTTCTTTCCCTTCAATGCAGAGTAACATTTTAAGCTTTATTTTTGATGCAAACCAAAATTTTATGTCAATTCTCTATTCTTAAACCTCTCATTTTTTCAATGAAGTCACGCTGAAAAATCAACACTATGCCTGTCCTTATAATCCTTTTCTTGTTCTCTGTGCCACATTATGTGTGCAACAGTAAGTGGTTTGCAGCTTAGCTGAGAGCTAGAGGAACAGAGGCTGCCTGGATGGGCTGGCTACAGCCTGACTGTGAACAGGAGCTGTCTGCTGGCCAGCTGTGTCTGGGCTGTGATCCCACAGGGCAGTAAGTGGTGAAGAGGCAGCTGCTTGCTATATCCACAGCACTGGGTGTGCAGTGGCAGTGCTAATCCAAGGGAAAGTAATTTCTGTCTACCTATCCTCCCCTCCTTGACCCCATATGCCTCTAGCACTACGTGGGGGTTCATTCAATGTTTCTGTCCTTGTCGGACTGCAGTGCCACCACAAATTCACTTAAAGATGCTGTTTGTGCCAGAGGTTTAAATACATTTCTAGCCAACAGTATTTTTATTGAGGATTTTAAACTGCAATCAGTAACAAAGTGCATATTTTAAAAAACTTGACTGCAGTGGTTATTTTTGGCATTCCTTGCTGAAAGTCTCTGCTGGCAGAGATGAAAATATCTTAACACACTTGCTCTGACCCACGTAATATGAGGAACTTTTCCTTACTATATTTGTCTATGAAAAAATCGCACTAGACTGATGGCATTTATAGCAAATCCTGCAGAATCACACACTTCTTTTATACTTTCCCTGTACATGAAAGTTACTGGTTCCTGCTCTGCTCAGTCAATGAACACTGATGTAGGTCAGTTCCTTTTCCTGTCTCCTATAAACATTAGTAAATCACGTTTTTGAAGGATTTGAATTTCTGTCTAGACTACAATTTATTTATTTATTTATTTTAAGCAACTTGAGCCAAACTTCTGGAGCTTGACAGTGCTGCAGGTGAAGTTGGTATAAAATCCAGTTGTAAAACATGTCATTTCAATTTTCTTCCAGCCTTAGTTCTGTGGCAGTGACACAGTGAGAAGTTTCTCTTGCTTAGAGGAAGAAAACCATAATTACGTAAAGCAAAGGGACATCCAGATCTACTCCATTTTTGTCAGATAGAATTAAAGCAAAACTAATGAGAATTCACGAAGTGTTCTTTTAAAAATTATTTCTGATAAATCTGAACTCCACAGCTATGCAAAGGACTGTGTGCTCATTCAGAGCGTGTGGCATTAAAAAGGCAAACAAAAAGAGGCGAAATGGTAAATTCTGACAGATGCAGATCACCTTACAATATTATAAATCATGTTACAATAAAAAGATGTGGAAAATAGTAAGTAATTTTTTAACCAAAGGGGAATATACACATATCTGTTCGAACTCAGTTATACTTATCCCCACATAGCAGATTTAAAACCAGAGTAACTCCATTGCTTTTGACACTGCTTCAGCACTCCTGTATGTCTAAGCACGATGGGAATGCTGAGCTCTTTCTCTGAGTGGAAGAAATACCCGGTACAAGTGGCTAAACCCAACATCTTGTAGAGAAGGTTTTGCTCGTGTTGACTGCAAACATGAGCAGAAACAGCAGAGAATCCCTACAAAGATGCACATCATCTATGTGACATGTCCACTGCTGGTGGCCAAGTGACCAGTCTGTTCTTCCAGCACAGTTCCTACTGTGAACAAAGAGCTATAGGGCTGACACTGGTGCTTCAAAGTCTCTTCAAACAAGATTAATTCTTTTTGCTGACTATAATGCTCAGGGTCTTGAGCTGGCCAGACACCTTTCAGGGCCTGCAGGCTGGCAGTGTGGCATAGTCTCCCTAACTGTCCACTTGCCCATACTGTAAGAAGCAGCATCTACCCAGCTTGACTGGGCTGAGCTAAACATTCCTGAGACACAGCTTTGATTGTGGGCCAGTGCTTACATCCACAGAAATATATGGACTAGTCTTGAAATGACATTTTGATGATGAAAGACAAGAAACAACTGTTTGGAAGTGGAATGACCTCTTAAAGAACAACGAGGATTTTAATGTATGTATTCCACTAAATAATTCTATTGATGTTCCATGCTAAACTCCCCAGAAGACAGAAAATACCAGAACAGAGCCTCACTCTTCAGCCTAAATCCTGTTTTCAGCACTTCTCTGAAATTTCATAGATTCCTTTTTCTGGTTTCTTCCACCTTACATGCCCATCACAAGGAGCAGTTGAAAACATAGCACTGAGTACCCTGTAACTCAAAAAAAATCCCCCAAGACAAAAATTTTCTGATCTTGTCCACATGTGGACTGAAACATATATTACAGCTCAGGTGCCAAAGAATTTGTCACAAACCACATCTTTTGTTTTTCTAAAATTGTTTTCTGTGACAATTCTAATGAGCACATTGGAATTCCAGATAAATTAGAAACTGCACTGATTTTTAACTAAATTTGCCATTAAATAAATACATGGGCATCTCTATTTTATGTGATAAAGCTGTGCAGACAATATTGCTTACATTATTTCTCCTAGTATGGCTTTACATTTTTAATATTCTGAAGATTTTTGTACTGATAGCAAATAGCTGCATGAGAACACTGTCAGCAGGAGCTGAAAAGTTTCCACTTGGCATAGGTGGGACAGCATTTTATTGCAAACATACCACACCGGATTCTTAGAATTACTTAGCACTAACCTTCCTGCTCACTGAAATCATTATTATCAGAGGGGGCAAAGAGAAAGCTGTAGTTAAGTTTATTCACCATTTTTTATTACAAGATTCAGCTTTTATGTATTCATAACTCTTTTAGGTTTCAACTTGCAGGTATGTGCATCTGCTCTAGGTTTCCTCTTAATTTTTCAATTTCCAGCTAATAAAGAGATGAACACAAAATGTTTTGTTAATACTT